TTCTCCTTTTAACTTTTCTTTTGCTTTAGCCTTTCCCACATGTATCCGATGGGATGTTGGCGGGAATGAGGGGCTGAAAAAATTGTATATAGAGTAACAAAGTCGCGAGCCCTTAAGCCATTATTAGGATATCTGGAGCAAGCGGTTTTGCCATACAAAAATGTTTCATCTAGAAGGTATAGCAGTAATTACAGGTGCAGGTGAGAACATACCAAAAAAGAAAGGCCCATGTTAATATGGTCTAACATGAAATAGGGAGCGGGATTGGCCTTGAATGTGCTCTTGCATTCGCAGCAGCCGGCGCGGCGGGAGTTGTATTCGCCGACCTGGACTTATCCATCGTTCAGGATAAGGCGGAGAAAAGCAGGAGCATAGCTACAAATCCTTCATATAAACCACTTGCAGTTGCTGTGGATGTGACTGACAAGTGTCAAGTTGAAGACATGATAGCTCAAACCCTCATTACCTTCAATAGAATTGACTACAACGTCAACTGTGCCGGGGTATGACCACAATAAGTCTCAACTCTCAAGACAGTAGGCCTTGACAGCTAAACTAAGCTTGCGTGAAAATGCAGGTTGCTATGCACAAACCAGCTCATTTCATGGACTTGACAATTCAAGAGTGGGAAAGGGTCAGCCAGGTAAATGTGCAAGGCGTGTTATACTGCATGCAAGCTATCGGGAAAGTGATGAGGATCCAGGAACCATTTAAAGCCTCTGGACTTCATGGACCACGGGCTGGAAAACGGGGTTCGATAGTCAATCTGGGGTCCATTCACTCATTCCAGTCAGCTCCTGGGACTGCCCAGTATACAGCTTCCAAACATGCGGTGGTTGGCCTGACTAAGTCTTGTGGTAAGATGCCTCCATCCTCCTCTGCGTTGCTAACATCTTATCATTTGGAATATTTGTCCTAACAGCAATATACAGCCCTGGATTTTGCTAAAGAAGGCATTCGCGTGAATGCTGTCTGCCCATCGTGGGTCAATACACCAATGATAAATAGCAATGAGGTGCTTGCGGAAGTTCATCAAGTTGTCGGGAATGTTGTACCTCTGGGGCGGATTGCAGAGGCAGAGGAGGTAGCAGACGTTATCCTGTTCCTTTGCAGCCCGAGAGCGAGCTATGTCACCGGTGCTGCTTGGATGGTGGATGGTGGATTCTCCTGCGCCACAGTGGTGTAGTTAGTTGTTTTCGTTTTGTTGGCCATTGATGCTGCAGCCCGTGGTCGGTGGGACTTATGTTAGGTACCTACCTTAGGTAATCTTCTTCGCTGGAAAAACTAAATGCGATTATGTAAGCTACATTAGGTACCTCATAAAGTTTTCTTTCGGCAAGGGAGATCCCCCGGTCGAACCTTACCACGAGTCCGTGCTTAAGTCAACGTCACTTCACTTCATTCAAGCCTCAACAACACGCAGACAAACAACACACATTACCGTTAGATATACCATGAATTCTCACCGACAAGTGACTTACTTCGCGGTTTGGCTGAATTAACTAACTTAATGTCAAGCTAACATCTAACACCAGAACTAGTGGTAATTGGTTACTCTGGACACAAATCTTTCGAATCGGCGACAGCTAGCGTTGAACATTGCCAGTCGCTCATAAGACCATGAGACCAGCTGAGAAAGGGCCGATTTCCCTAGAATGACACCCCGAATAGAAGCATTGCCTCCTTCCCGTAGCCAGTTTTGAACTGGTTCATCAGTGCCGCGAACGCCCGACAGTTCTACCACCGTACCGTCCTCGGCCACAGACGCCGTACATTCGGCACTGTAGGCATGCAAGACAATACAGCTGTACAACAAAGCTATGGGTCTCAAAGGGTTCCAATATTTGTAATACTCTGGCCACGAAGCACATGTTTTGCATTCATGCTTATTTTGCAGCTGGACTGCATGGTATACTGCTCTGCGGCCATCAGTGGAATCTGCCCATGCTCGAATTGCTCTATGGGTCTCTATTTCTTGCCGATAATCACCACTACGCTGGTTTTCGAGAAGAGAAATATCCGCATGAATGTTGAGGAGTGTCAAGTGGAATAGAGTCAGATTGAGAGTGAGCCAAAAATGTTGTGATTCCGAGCGTCCTGTGCAACATATGTGGCCTCGTTTATAAGCTCCTTCGAGGTATGATTGGCAATATGTCAAGTGGTTTCTTTGGTAGCTGACGCTACTTTGCTGGCTTATGGACGTCAAAAACTCTGTGCCGCCGCGCAATGCCTGGATGGCCGACCATAATTCCACTTGGATCGCACAAAGGGCTAAATGACTATCCGGCTCTTCAAACGGATGCCGCTGATCATTAGGCAATTCCCTGGAAGTCTGGAAAATTTCCTGGACGGCTGACTGGAAAATGCACTTATCACGCCCGGCTGGCTCGAACCACTGAATACGATATCTCTCGTCTGCTTTCAAAGCTTTCCAAAGAGTTTCTGTGACCGGAAGGGCAAGACGAAGTTCTTGAAAGCGTATAGATGGAGGTCGATGTATTGTGATGCTGAAATATACGTCTAGCCGAAGAACAGCATAAGCTAATCTGCGAGGGTTAGAATATTTACCAGCGCCGTTTTTACAGTTGCACGTACCTCTTGGCTTCTTCTTCACATATCCATCTGTCCTCTTCCACATTATCCAGTGGCACCCATTTCCCAGAAAACATCCCCATTCGTCGCATTGCGGAGATAGCTACATCGGTGCCTTGAGCAGCCCAGTGGGCCGACTCTGACAAAATCTATCGTTGTTAACATTCGATCATACATCTAACAGATATCGAGATGGCCATACATCCTCAACTGTAAATGATATCAAGACTATCACAAGAGCCTGGGTCGCCCGGAATATTTCAGTTAACCTAGAACCAAAGCTTTCCTGTGATACCGCATATTAACATTCAGACATATAACCCAAGTGGCAGCAGCGTACAACATACCGGTCCGGCAACCAAGTGTCTCATCAAATCTGTGACTAGCCTATTCCGCTCTTCCTCCCTTGATAGTGGCCACTTGACTAACCCCAAAGCCCGTGAAAGCCACGGGTGTTTGTCCGCTCGTTCCAGAGTAGAGTGGTGGAGGATTGCCCATGCATCGTGGAACACTGTCTCGGGGAGGCAAGTCTGCCCCATGCTGTTTAAGGAATCAGGTTTATTTGGGAGCGCTGGCTGGCATTGATTGTCACCTTCTGTCGAGGGCAAAGCTAGCAAAGCCTCTACCAAGTCAACGTCACAGGAGACTGGTCTGACTTCTGACATCCACTCGTTGGCAGATGGCCAGCTGAATCTAAGATTACTCGGTACTTCGTCATCAGCTATGGTGCTGATTGTTGAGTGCTTCTGCAATGAACTAGGGGTATCACCAGGGACTTTATTAGAAGTCAGCGGCGTGTCCCACATGGTATCAACGTGGAATCCTATGCAGCCTGTGTTTTCATCCTGAGACCCTTCAGTTGGGTCCTGGGAACGGATGGCCCGAGTGGGAGTAACTTGTGTACTTGATGGAACCCGAATACAAGGCACCTTCAAGTGGGAGCACGTTAAGCAAGGGTCTTCAGAGTTGCATTTGGATTTCCTATACCGGCATGTTTGGCATGCCACAAGAGTGCGCTGGGCGCCTTTAGGGTCTGCATGGTGGATTGGCAAATGCCGCTCTAAAATGTCTCTGTCGGTCATCAATTTAGCCATCATCCTTCCCTCTCAATTGCTGCCTGAACGGTGATTTAGTTTACCTCCTCGCAAACCTACGGTGACACAAATAACATGGATAAGCCCGGATAGGGTCGTGATTTCGTTGGTGGCGGTTAAGATGCTCCTTGCGGAGAAAAGAGCGGTTGCAATTTGTCACTGGGCACTGGAATGGCATTCTTTCAATAAAATGTGATCCTGTTTTGTTAGAATGTGGATACTGAGGGGCCCGATGCGAGTTATGGAAATTTTTGGTTGAAACTGCACATGTCGACAACCCCCTGTGTTCGAACCGTCATCCGCATTTGTAACCTTGATCTACCATCTTGCATAGGATCGACATCATCCCAAGATATGCACCTGATATTTTTGATCCCAACTAACTTTATGCCCGGTTGATGTTTAGGCGTTGTTCACCTACTTTCACGATTGCCCGTGCGGAGCACAGTAACTAGTATGGACCCTCAAATAGTCCCTGTTATATGCCATATCGTGGAGCCGTATCCCCTTGCCATCCCAATGGGTTACGAATATGATGGCAAATATTTTTCGTTCAATGACGCAGATACTCCGTGGCTCCGCT